ATACAAATTTTTTGATTTTATGTTTACTGTATTTACTCGATTAATTCCCACGAGGAATTAATATTTCAACCCTTTCCTGGGATGGGGATTTATTTGAGGGAGGGGAATTAATAGAGTTAATACGGTATCTCCATTATTATTCCGTTTAAGAGTGTATCCATTCATACAAAAAATACACATTGAAGAATTGGAGGCTTTAGGGGGCTATAAAATTTAGGACAGTTCAGCCAAACTCCATTTATCTAAAATAAATTTTTTTATCAAAATCTTTTCCAGTTTTCAAATTTATTATCTCCATCATTATTCAGTTTACATAATGAAGGGAAAGGGTTAGAAAAAGAATTAAGCTTACCTAAATTATTAAAATCAACAAAAATTAATGGGCGAGACCAACAAGAATGGCTAAATTTAATAATGGAATATTCTGGAGTAAATCAACAAATTGAGGAAATTAAAGTTTTTTTTTTCGTTAAAAATTTAATTATAAAAATATTTATTTAAAAAGGAAGCTTTTAATTTTAATTCAAACAAAATGTATGATCAAAATTTGGATAAAAATATCGAAAAATGTTATGAAAATCAATTTAAAGGAGCATATTTGAATAGAAAAAACGTAAAAAAAATTTTAAATTACTTAACTTCATTTTTAGATACGCTCAATATTAGGTAACCTCTATTTAAGATACCTCTCATTATAAGGAGCATTTTCTAAATCCATGGGAGTATTCTATAGTGAAGTCTGAGTATGATTAAAATATAGTATATAAGTCTTGGAGTGAGATCTGGCTATATGTAAATTGATTTTAATTGGAATAGTCTAGATCGGTGCTGGGTATTTGGCATTTGTTGGCTCCGGCTCCAGTTTTTTTCAAAACTTGGCCCTGACTCTGGGCATTTCTGGCATTTCAAATTCTTGGCTCCGGAGCCATACCCACCACTGGTTTAGGGCCACTTAAGTAAAATTCAATCTAGGATACCTTTCCAACATTTGTTTGGCCATTATATAGGGGATGACTGACTAATTGTAAGCACCTATTTTTGATACTTCCCATTATAGGATACAATTTTTAAGATCCAAAGGGTATCGTACAATAAGGTCCGATTATTTAATTTAAAATAATTTTTTAATTAAATAAAGATACAAAATATGTTTGGCGATTATGAAGAAAGAAAAATCGCAACATGGGAAGAATTAAATAAAAGATTCAATTATAACCAAGTAATTAATTTTAAAAAATTTTTCAATCAAAATTAAAGAGAAAAGAATTAGACCAAATAGGCTATTCAATGCTTACTAAGGACCAATTAAAATTTTTGTATGGCCCAAAATCTCCCTTCAATGATTCTGTGACACTAGAAAGATTGTTGCCTTTAACAGAGACTTTAACGATAAATGAGGTAAATTAAAGGAATTTTTTAAATAAATTTAAATAATTTGAAAGATAATCGAAAGCGATATTAAAAAAATATCGCAAATGGATTCTTTTAATATTCGACAACACGATGTTGTGGTAAGGATATTTACAGTAGAGATCGAGCTGGACCTGGACCAAGGCCTGGGTTTTTCCTGGACCTGGGTTTTTCCTGGACTACAGGCCCAGGATCCAGTCCAGGTCAAGAATCAAACCCAGAGTCCAGGAACAGGTCCAGGCTTTTCAAAAATCTCGATCTCTAATTTACAGTAGGGAAGTTTTGGGAGTTTGTTTTAACATATCAGAAAGAGAGTTGGCGAGTCCAGACCCGCAAGAGCTCAGATATCCGGAAATTTCCGGTCGGATATCGATCCGGATATACGGCGATTCCAAGACCCCACCAACCAACCCTAGTCTACCAATAAAAATCTATCAAAGTAGCGAAGTTAATTTTTAACCTCCGGAAGATATTATGGCCAGAAGTAGGTGTGTGCCCGTTCGAAAACGAACTAAGAAACCGTGAAATTTTTGTAATAAGGGTTAATCATTAACTTGGTGTTCTATTATATGAGTAAAAGTACCTGATAAAGTTACCCGGTATTCCTACCCTATTTTTATAATACGCCCCTTACAAATTAGTGAAGGCTTTTAATGTAGTCCCTTAAAGTGTTAATTATGCGTAAAACTCGAAATTTCGATTTCTTTAATTTGTTGGGGCCAGGGGTGGGCGCTATAGACAATTTCAAAAAACGCAATGTGCCCGCCCCAGGTTGGGGCCTTCGATTCTGAGTGTACTCAGATTTTTTGACAATTTAATTTAAATAAATTTTTCTTTTTTTTTCTAGCTTTCCCCAAGCGTGTTTAAACCGGGAATATTAAATCCAACGTAAATTTATAATAAAAATTACAAAAAAAATTTTTACAGTCGAGCAAGTCAACCATTTATTCTTTCACCTGCTCTATTTTCTCCAACAATTCTTTCACCAAATATTTTTGGTGCTGGAATCCTTTCTCCTAGACTTTTTTCACCTACAGTTTTTAATCTTTAAAAATTAAATTTATTTTATTTTTTTTTCAAAAAAAGATTTTAGCACCTAAAGTCATGTCACCTTTAATCCTAAACCCTCTAATGTTCTCACCAATTATACTTTCACCACTTGTAATGGAACCATTTATTCTGTCACCTGGATTTTTTCATTCCGTGGTAAATTTTTTAAATTTTTTATTAGTTAAGAGGAGTTTGGACCGAGACAAATCTAGTTAAAAGTCAGGCCTTAGTTTTTTAAAAAATTCCCATATTCTGCCAAACCCCATCAATAAAACTAAAAACTCGTTTTGGCAACGGCTTCCGGACTTTTGTGGAGGTGACATTTTGATAGTACACGGACTCTCCAAGTGTTCACTCTATTGTCCATTATCCAATTTTCCACTCTCCAAATGTCCGGACACGCTGACAACACAGCGCTATTTGCAAAACATAGGTGACATTTACCTCTCATTTGTAGATATCTCCAAAATTAGATACGCCTCAATTTAAGATACATTAAACCTTGGTTGGCCTCTAGGTTTAGGTAGGATGGCTTAAACCAGACCTGGTCACGGATACTGATTTTGGTATCCGTATCCGGATATTTATGGCGGATACAGGCGGATATCCGCAGGCATTTTGGTATTATCTGTATCCATATCCGTATCCATGACCAGGTCTGACTTAAACACACTATGAACTCATCCTAAAGTGCCTAAGCGATACCCTCTATTTAAGATACTTCGTAAGATTTTTTTCAGTCCAAGAAGGCATATAAAAATAAGGAACATCCTAATTTTTTAATTTTTAGATTTTAAGCCCTTATATATTGACTCCAATAATTCTTTCACCATTCCTTCTCTCGTCAGTTGTTCTAAGCCCATCAGCACTTTCACCTCTAATTTTAAGTCCATTTGCATTAAATCCCCAAGTATTGTCACCAAAAGCATTTTCTGGACTTGTACTTTCTCCATATGCTTTTTCGCCTGTTTTATGGAGCAAAACATATCATTATGTGGTTATACTTTCGCCAAGTTTGATGAGTTGAATTTGTGAATGATTAAAGAACATTTTGATGGATTTTGAAAAAATTAGAGTTGCGAGATTTGTTGGAAGTTTTCGAACTCCCAACTCTAATTAATTGAACTCATATTTTTTTTTATTTTTTAAATGATTAATAAAAATTAATAAAAAATATAAATTTGTGTATGACAATTAATTTATTAATTATTTGATTTTAATTAGTGACCAGATGCATGAGGGGTTCTACATATGAGGGATTTTGAGGGATCCCGCTCCCGCAATCCCACACTTTTTTGATTTCGGAATGTGCGATTTATCTCGCGGGATTAAGTTCCGCATAGATTTTTAGAAAAAAATTTAACTTACGGGATCCAGCAAAACATGATGTTGACTGGCAGGAGGTCGCATGATCGAAGCCTGCCCGGGATTAAACTTTTACCTCGCTCTTACTCTGGTCACTAATTTTACTCAGACAATATTTATTTTTGTATTTAAATTTAAAAAATAATTATTTTAATTGTTTGGCAAAATGTCATTAAATTTAAATATTTAAGGAATCTAATTTTGCTGATATGGGCATTCTATTAAAATCCTTTTCATATTTATTAACAATTAGGAAAGACTCAAACCTTTTTAAAATAAGTTTTTTAGACTTTAAAAATTTAACAAAAATGCCAAAATATTTAAGAAGAAAATGTGAAAAAAAGCGTGGAGACAAGAATAAATTTGGTGAAAGAAAATTAATCGAAAAAGATGGCGACAATCAGGGTGACTTTTATTCTTCTTCTTAACAGACTTTTAATCGCCTATTTAATCATTATTTTCTAGTCTATGGACAGGTACAAAAACTGCTTGGGAACTGTCGACTAATGGCTTTTTGTTTTGACGGCAAAGACCGTCTGTGCCGTATTCGCGGAAGTTTACGTAAAATTACGTGGATAAATGTTGGTGATATTGTTTTGATTGGACTTAGAGAATATCAGGATAATATGGTGCTTTTTTCCTTAAAATATACATTAGAGATCGAGCTGGGTCTGGATCAAGGCCTGAGGTTTTCCTGGACCCAGAGTCCAGGCCTAGGCATTTTTTGACCTTCCTGGGGTCTTCCTGGGCCTGGGTTTTTCCTGGACCCAGAGTCCAAGCCCAGGCATTTTTTGACCTTCCTGGGGTTTTCCTGGGCCTGGGTTTTTCCTGTGCCCAGAGTCCAGGCCTGGGCATTTTTTGACCTTCCTGGGGGTTTTCCTGGGCTTGGGTTTTTCCTGGACTACAGGCCCAAGATCCGGCCCAGGTCATTAAATCAAACCCAGAGTTCAGAAACAGGCCCAGGCTTTTCAAAAAATCTCGATCTCTAATATACATACTCCTTTCACCAAATTTTTGTAGGGAGATGTAATCTTAAAATATACGCAAGACGAGGTTCGAGCTCTACGGGAGTCTGGTCAAATAAGTGAATCAGTGAAAGTGAACGATAAAGATGTTGAAATTTTGTTTGGTAAATATTCAATTAGAAAATTTCCAAAAAAAATTTTTTTCTTAAGAGAATAAGGATAAAAATGAGGAAATTACTGTTATGCCTCAAATGAGAAAATTTTCGATTAGTGAAAGTGAAGAGGAAACGGATGAAGAAGAAATTGACGAGGGGAATGGAAATTGTGTTGAGGAAGAGGGGAAATGAGGAGAGAGTAGGAAGACAAAAAATAAATTTATAATTGATATTCAATTAAAAAACATTTTTTGGTAATTATTCCGAATATCGACATGTTTTGTAGACCTTTTGCAAATACTTACAAGATTTTTATTTTTTATTCTTTCAAGTTTTTAAAGTATCTTATTCAAATTGAAATGACAAAAAGGATTAAAGATTTGTTTTTTTACAATGGATACATTTCAGCAGTTTATCAATTAGTACGTTTTATCACGTCCAAGACAAATTCTAAGCGTTAACGGAACACTTTCGCGGACTGAAAAATCCCTATTAGATTTTTGATTATCTGTCCGCAACTTTGAATTTTGCGACTTTTGCCGCGGTGTTCGGCGTTTATTTTTTGATTAACAATTAGAGACCTGCGCGTCTCAGGATCCCGCGGGGATACCGCTCCCGCACTTTTTCAATTATCGAGATACGGGAATTTGCGGGATTTATCATGCAAAATCCTGTCCCACAAAAATTTAAAGAATTTCACATGCGGGATCTCGCAAACACTATTTTGCTGACCTCTATGTCCAACCCTAGTAAATATACAACACACAACATTTTTATACAATAAATACAAATCGCAACACAAATACAATAAAAATAATTACAACACAACAAAATTATCCATCAATTTTTCTCATTGCCCAAACATCTACTTTCTTAGAGCCAATTGGAAAACACAAATACATCATCTCATGTTTATGTGGATTATCTACGCCAAACATTTCATACTCCACAACTTTATAACGTTCTTCTTCATTCTCCAACTCTGGATCCTCCATTTGAAAATAACGTTCTTCTTCTTTTACCAGTTCGCCACGCATTTTCAAAAAATTATCTTCGAAATAGAAGCCTCTATAACCGTGAATAACGACGTGATGATACATTAATTCGTATCCTCCAAGAGAACTGGAGTGTTCTTTGCCGATCAGATAAAAACGGTTTGTATGGAATTTCAACGGAGAATCGCCAAAAAATAATTCGAGAATGTCCGGATTGATAAAGCCTTGTTCAACTTTGAAGTTTTCGATGAAGCAATGGGAAAGCTTTTCTAGCCAGTGACGAAAAACAACCATTTCTTCAATTGTTTCTGGATATAGTTTTAATTGAAGTCGCAGAAATTTAGGCGATGTTCCATCTAGAAATGAAAAAGTTAACTGATAAGAGCTTCAAAAGTTCACCTGTTTCTCCTGATTCAAACAACAAATTTGCGATTTCATTCGTTTTATCGTCCATTGATACACGAGAACTGTCCTTGTGATAAAGGCAGGTAGGAATCCGTTCTTGAATTGCTGTTTGATACTGAAAAATGAAGAGAATTTTTATACAAAATAACCCCCTCAATTTACCCTTGATTTGTCTTCCCCACTTAACTCCAAGTCCAATTCATTAGGAGCACATTCCAACTCTTTACAAACATCTGAAAAATAAAAACTTTATACTCGATTAAAGAGCAAAACCCTTACAATTAGCAACCAATTCAACAGAACGAAACACTTTCTTAGCCAATTCTTTGTTGTAGTTGACGATCACTTCACAAAAATGACGATTTGACAGTTGAAAGTTGTTCAATTGGTAAAAGTTGAGGCATTTGAAGATGTCAAGTTTTGTTTCGGCCGGTAGAAGATTCATTGTTGTTATGGGATTTGTTTCAGCTGGTAGAAGATTTGTTGTTGATTGATGAGAGAAAGATTTAGTCAAAAAATCTTCAGCCTTTTATACTGTCTTTTATAAGCTTAATTGTCAAATAGTAAGTATTTTGATGCTTAATAGGGATTAGGTACGTAGCGGTTAAAGTCCGTCAACGTTAGAATTCGTCAATGGTGGAGATTAAGTTTCGTCAGAAGCAACAGATCAGAGTTGAGGGATCTCAGAATTTTGAGTGTACTGTTCTCTGATTGTAATTACGCGTTAATTAATATTTCTTGGCGTTGTGTTATATTTTAGTCAGACACTAAAAGATTTTTTCTTCTCTACTTTTCGTTAGCAAATTTGCTTAATTTTTTTATAATTTTGTTATTTTTAATCGAGATTTTTAATTTTTAGATAAAAATCTTTTTTAAGTTTTTAGTATTTAATTAACGCAAAGTTTATTAAACAATGCCAAAAAACAAAGGAAAGGGAGGAAAAAAGCGAAGACGAGGGAAGAATGAAAATGACATTTTGAAGAGAGAATTGGTTGAAAAAGATGGAGAAAATCAAGGTTTAAAATTTCGAATAAAGTTTAAAAAACAACTTTTTAGCCTATGCACAAGTGCAGAAAATGCTTGGGAATGGTCGTTTGACAGCTTTTTGTTTTGATGGAAAACAGCGACTTTGTCATATTCGAGGAAAATTGAGGAAGAAAGTTTGGATAACGCCTGGCGATATTATTCTCGTTGGACTTAGAGATTATCAAGATGAAAAGGTTTTTGAACTCGAGTTTTGATTTTGGTAGTAGAGGGGTTTATGCCATAATGAATCCAGTCGATAGATTTATTTTTGGGTAGGATCTTTTTTGGTTGGGGAGAGCCCTGAGGGAAATTTTCTATGAGACAGAGCCCGGAAATAAGTTTCAAGAATGGTTTAGTTCCTCGACAGAAGATTGATACAAACCTGCTTGTGAATCAAAGATTTTTAAATATTTGAGATCCAATTTTATGAGATCGACCATGAATTGGATCCAGACTTTGATCTGGAGTAGGGTTGCGCTCCAAGCCTTCGAGGACGGGATCGTCGGGGATTGGGTTTGTCGGGGTAGAGCCTTCGGGTCAGGGTTTTTACTATAAAATTTATTGGGGGACGGGGTGCTACTCTAATCTAGAGTTATGATCAGGGCATCTTTCAGTGTTCCTTGGGATTTCTTTAATCTAAAGTCAAGAATCTGGACATCCTCAACCAAAATCAAGGTCAAGTTTTTTTAGAATTTCCGTTCTCTACTAATTTTTTGAGATTTTCTCATCTCCTTTCACATTTTTGTGAAATATTTGTTTTCTTCTTATCCAAGTAAACAATTTGTTAATTAAGGCAGACGTAATTCTAAAATACACACCGGATGAGGCTCGTATTCTCAAAAATGCTGGTCAGTTGCCTGAAAGTACAAAATTAAATGAAGGCGAAGAGGAAGATGCTGGAGGGGTTGAATTTAGTAAGAAACTGTTATTCAAAAATTTTATTATTTTTTCTTGTTTTAGTTGATTCTGGCGAGCATTACAGCGAGGACGAAGTTGCTGCTCAAGACAGAAATTTCTCTCTTAGTGAAAGTAGTGAAGAAGAGTCAGATGAAGACGAGGAGGAGGAGGAAGAAGAGACAAATATTAAAAGTAAAGGAAAGGTTAAATAAATTTAAAAATTGAGGAAAATTATTTTGGGATTTAAAATTATATTATGGTACCTATCGGTTATACGCCCACAAACAGAGTGTTATCCGATATTGATTAATACTGGACTTCAATATTGGATCAAATAACTGGACTTATTTTGTTATAACTTTTAAATGCGTGATCAGACTTGATTATTCCTATAGAAAAAAGGTTCCGCTTATCGAGGGCTTCAGGCTCAAAAAAGTTATAGCCGATCAATATCGGATGGCACTCTTTTGTGGGCACATAACCGTTAAGTACCTATATTATATTCTTTTAATTTCGTTGTATTTAAAAAAAGTAAATAAAGGTTTGTTGAAATGTTTATTTTTGATTGTTAAAATATATATTTTATATATTTGATTATATTTTTTAATTTTTGTTCGTGTTATTTTTAATGGCAAATCACCATTTATGCAATGTTGCCGTAGTACCAAACGCCGAAATACCAAAAGTTTTTGACTGTTGACAGGCTTACACGTTGATAGGGTAAGTTTTGCTGTTATTGAAACAACTTTCCACGTGTTGGGAAGCGGGTTTTTTTTATTTTTCCACAGTTTGGTTTTTCTAGTTTTTGGAGGTTGATATTTCGGCGATTGGTGTTACGTCGCTCTTCCCCCACTTTTTTTCTAAATTTTTTCGACATCTTTATCCGAACTTGAAGAAACGCTTTAAAATTTCTTCACGCTCATCCTTTTTTCAGATTTTCTTAAAATAATTTTTAGAAGCTTAAAAATGGATAAAATCAAAGCATTCATTAAAAAGAAAAGGGCAGACAAAAATTTTAAATTGGCTGGACCTGGATATGTTTTAAAAGATGATAATACACAATCAAGCAGTTCTCCAAAACATTCTCCTCCAAAACAATCACAACAAGCTAAAGTAAAATTTAAGAGATTTTTTTTAAATTTTCTTTTCTAGCCTCCTCCACGTCCCGATGCTTCAACAATGGCACAGGCAGCTGAGAGACGAATGGCTAAATCTGCACCACAATCAGAATTGACACCAATGCAAAAAATTATTAGGATGCAGGTTTTGATTTTTTAGTGATTTTAAAATTTCTGTAGGCAAAGAAGGAATTGGAAGAAGAACAACGGAAGTTGGCAGAAGAGATGAAGGGAACAAAAGTTGACGACACTTCTCCTAATATACCAAAGACTGACAATGAGCAATCGAGTGTTTTGTACACCTGTGAGCTTTTTGGTGAAGACGAGGCTTTGCCAAAATCTGAGGTTTTTAAATTGAATTATTAGAATAGTAGGGAAGTCTGCCGCAAATTCATAATTTAAAAAATTTATGGAAGTCGATTTTGGGTTTATCTAACGTGACTTTAGAAGATATTAATAGTAAATTGAATTTATCCTATTTTTTAAGGCTAGGTTAATTTTTGTGGTAGACGGTGTTTCGAGAGATAGGAATGTATCTTTTCAAATGGTTTCTTTTTGACACTAACAAGAATTATAATTAGGGTTCTCGGTTCCTGGAAAATTTTTGGATATCCGAAACCGAATCGAAAAATCTTCGGTTCTTCAGGTCGGTTCGGTCCAGAACCGACAAATTTAATACTTATAAAAAATTACTTTTTAGATACTTCATTTAACATTTCAAATAATATTTTTATTCAAGATGTTGGATGCAATCGGTTCTTGCCTTTTTGAACAACTTCAGGATGGTGAAGCTGATCCTTTATATACAACTACCTGTATTATACATACTTTAAATAAAGAAAATGTTAAAATCCCGGCATTGGATACAATTCAACGTTATTTACAAAATATTATTGACAATCCAAATGAACAAAAGTTTAGAAGGATTAAGCTTTCTAACAAAGTTTATCAGGTTAATTTTTAGATTTGTTTGTAATATATTGTCTTGAAATCTTGTCTTCGAATTTAATTCAGTTTTTTCCTTGTGATTTTTGATAAAGATCGAGCTGGGTCTGGCAAGGGCGTATCCAGAGGGTCGGTTTCGGGGGGGGGGGGGGGCTAACACTGGGTGGGCGCAAAAATTTTTGGCGTTTGGCTTGGCGTTCCGGACCCTTTTTGGGTTTTTCCTGGGCCTGGGTTTTTTCTGGAATACAGCGCAGGATCCGGTCCACGTCAATAAATCAATCTCGATCTCTTTTTTTTTTGAAGCATGTGTCGAAAACCAAAACTTTGAGTTGTTTATTTGAAGAATTAGATTCGTCCGGCGGTTGTTCGACCAATTGCAGATTCACCAGAAATTCTAAAAGTCCTAAGCAAAGAAAGAAATTTAGGCTAAACTGAAAATTATATGTTTAATATTTTTAGACTGGGCGTTACCAGTTTGAGTTAAAACAATTTAAATTAATAAAATAAATAAATTATTTATTAACAAAAATGTTTAAGTGAAAATTTATTTTTTAAAATGAAAAAGGATAATGAGTCATATTAATGTAGAAGAAAGCCTTTTTATTATTCTTTTCTCCTTCCCTTTTTGTTAAGGAATTAAAACTTTTCAGAGCGGTGTAATAGCGGCTAAACGGAACCTCTACCTCGAGCGGTTCTCTCCCCGATCGGAGAGTGCGTTCCTTTGTCTTTATTACACCGCTTCTTTCTCACAACTTTTTACAAACAAAAAGGAGAAGGAGAAAAAGAACAAAGTTTACGGATTTCAATTAACATTAATATTGATGAGAAACACTTAAAGCGAAAAATGCAAATAAAATTAAAAATGAATTATGGCAATTGGAATGTTGAGTCTTGGAAATTTGGGTCCTCTTGGTCGCTCGGGGCCGTGAACATATTGAACATATTGAAATCCTACTAATAAAAAATAATTAGAAAATAACTGAAAATAACTGTCGAGGCGAGCCTCGACAGCATGTTTTTCTTCTGATTCTTTTTTGTGTTTTAACCTTTCCCAATTTTATTCTTTATTTTTTCAATTCTTCATCATTTTCTTAAATCCTATTTAAAATTTTAATCTAAATAGACACTTTTTAGGAGAAAGTAGCACCATGTACAGGAGCATTTGAATTTTTGATAGCAACTGGCTTTCGTAAAGAAGAATCGGCAGCTGAAAATTTTCTGGTTATGGATAGTCTGAATATTGGATCAATTGAACAATCATTAACTGTTCTTTTTGAAGGAAAAGCTATTGCTATTAAATTGTTTCGTGATCGAAAGGTTTGTTTAAAAATTTTATAAAGTTAATTTAATTGGACTAGGGGTGTTAGAAATTTTGTTAGTTTTGGATTGTTTCCAGGTTTATTGTTAGCAATTCCAGGTTTATTGTTTTTTTGTTTAGTTCCAGGTTTATTGTTAGCAATTCTATTTTATTTAAAGAAAATTTTTTCCTTACAAGCAAAATTCTATATGACCTACCTTTTCCTATTCTTGGCTAAAAGATTTTGGATTAAAAGAATTTTTTGGAAATCGTAGATGATTAATATATGTAAAAATCCATCGCTAACGCTTGCGTCCAGGATGCAATTTTTTGAATTAAGATTACCTGTACTAAAGAATTTTTACAATTAATATTCCTCAATGATTTTGATTTTATAATATAATTTTTCAGGTTTTTATTATCGATCCAAACAAACCTTTGCCTGAAATTCCAATCCCTCCGGATTTCTTTTCTCGTACGGCTGATGAAATTCTTCGTGAACAACAACAACGTACTGAAGCATTGGAACGTATGACAACATTAAGAACACAAAAAATGCGTGAAATGGATTCAATTAAAGCAGCTGTTTCTTCAACTATTTATAAATATACTCTGATTCGTGTTCGCTTTCCAAACAATTATTTAATTCAGGTTTGTTTATAGATTATGATAGGGAAAATTTGTGATATTAGTTAAATGAAATTTAGTGAAAAAAATATTAGGGAATTTAAATCTTTTTCACAAACACACCTAATTGAATTTTGAGTAGAGTTGTAGCGTTATTTTTATTTTAGTCCTTTTCGTTAGGTTTATAGTTTTCGAAATTTTTAAAAATTTTTAATTTCGAATATCTTTCATTTTTGGTTCGGAATTCTGATTTTTGAGTGTAAAAATAAATCTTTAAATATTTGTAAAAAATACTAAAAATATTTTAAATTAATTTGCCTTCAATTATCAAACTTCTTGGTGTCTGAAAATTTCCAAATTTTAAAAATTTATGTTTCCACGTCATAAGGAAATTACGTGGCATATTAACGTTTAATAATAAAAATTCATACCGAAAATTTTAAAAACATTTATTAATTTTAGGCAATTTTCAATGTTCATGAACGATTCCAATCGCTAAGAGAATTTGTTTTCAAAAATTTAGCTTTAGAACATGGCTCTTTCACTTTAACTTTTCCTTCATCTTCAAATAACAAGTTTATTTTTTAATTTTAATAATTTATATTTAATTTTCTAAATTTCTAGCGGGATAGATTTAGACAAAAAAAACTCCACATTTTTGGAATTGGGACTTGTGCCGTCAGCTATTTTAAATTTTAAATGGGATGCATCTACATTGGAGGTATTTTTAGTTAGCTAATTTCAAAAAATAATAATGATTATTTGGGACTGACTAAAATTTAAATTTGAGTGGAAATTTTGTTTAAAAAATTTATTTTTAGGAATTACTAGGTCGTTTATAAAAAATGTCGCTTTTTATCAAAAATAAAATTTCAAACTGATAAATAACAAACAAAATCAATCAAGTATAATACTACTTTGTGAACTTTATCGAATTGAATTTTCAGCAGGCTACGAATATCCCCTTTACCTCCGACATTACTCAAATCATAACTTTTCTTGGGATTTTTGAAAATTGTTAAATTAGGTGTTAAAATGAAGATCTAATTCTGTTCTTCAAGAAAACACCAAAAAAGGATAGATTTTAAAAATATTCTTGTGTTATCACTTGATAAACAAAAAGCGACATTTTTATGAAACGACCTAGTATTTTTAATGAATTAAAATTATTTCTTGAATTTTTGAAAAAAAATTTTTTTAATTTTATAGGGACATTCAAACGATTCAATTCCTTATCTTAAACATGAGCTTGAACAAACTGCAATTGCATTGTGATGAAGAATTTTTGATGGTATTTTTAAATGATATTTAATTGGTATATATTTATTGACTATATAGAATGGGGATTTCATTCAAAATTTAGCAAGGGTTAGGTAAACAATTTAAGGTAAATCTCTATTGGATATGTAATTAATGGTTTTCTGATTGGGCGATTAGGTCATTGGGTTTGATTTAAGTAAAAATGTCAGGGTATTCTTAAGTTTTCATTTTTCTTTGAATGAATCCTAAAAATTTGACCTGTACTAAATGTTGTAGATTTAATTAGGGAGTGTCTTATTTTTGAGCTTTTAGCATTATCTGACCTTTTAAAACGTCAATGGTCTACATGTTGCATTTTCCCAAAAAACTAAAGTTTGCTTCCTCATTCACTCGTCCAAAAATCCTATCCTGATAAACCCAAACAATTAAAAATAAAAATTGTCTAAAATACGATGATACATCCTAAGTATTCCGCTCTCAGTTTTCGAATCCACTGAAAACTCATCCAATTCTCACCTAGCTCCAAGCTACTCACCCAATACCTCTTCATACCTAAAGCCACTATACCATGATCTGCCGCCGTACATGAAATTTTGATTAATTCAAATAACGGTGTTCAAAATATATTTTAAAATTATTATATAAAGTAACCTTAACATTTCATTATTACTTTAAAAATCATTTAAAAACCCAAGTATTCAAATTTACAAAGTGCAAAAACCAAAAAATTTATGAATAAATTACTCTGCGTCTGTGGTTATGGTCGTATTTTCTTCCAATTTTAACTCTTCCATCGTGTAAAATTACCCTCCGTAGACGTGCCGGACATGCTGAACGACGTACCTCCTATGTAGTTATAAATTTAATTTTATTTATTTTAAGTGTTGATGGCTCCTATCAAATATTAAAAAATTGTCTAAAAACAATTAACACACATTTATAATATATTGAATTAAGGTGGCGTGATGAATCTCTCGCTTGACGCCAAGTTTGATTGTGGGCATTCCTCCAATTTTCAAATGCTTCAAGATTTTGAAATGTAAAGACGTCCCTATATCTTATAAATCTTGCCATATATTTGTTTGGGTCTTTTCAGTACTACATATTTCTTTAAATTCATTAAAACAAGCATTTTACTGAACTTACAATTTTAACATTATTCCTCCTGACCCAGGAATAGTGCTAAAATTGTAAGTTCAGTAAAATGCTTGTTTTAATGAATTTAAAGAAATATGTAGTACTGAAAAGACCCAAACAAATATATGGCAAGATTTATAAGATATAGGGACGTCTTTACATTTCAAAATCTTGAAGCATTTGAAAATTGGAGGAATGCCCACAATCAAACTTGGCGTCAAGCGAGAGATTCATCACGCCACCTTAATTCAATATATTATAAATGTGTGTTAATTGTTTTTAGACAATTTTTTAATATTTGATAGGAGCCATCAACACTTAAAATAAATAAAATTAAATTTATAACTACATAGGAGGTACGTCGTTCAGCATGTCCGGCTCGTCTACGAAGGGTACTTTTACTCGATGGTCGGGTTAAAATTGGAAGAAAATTCGAGCATAACCACAGACGCCGAGTAATTTATTTATAAATTTTTTGGTTTTTGCACTTTTTAAATTTGAATACTTGGGTTTCTAAACGATTTTTAAAGGAATAATGAAATGTTAAGGTTACTTTTATATAATAATTCTAAAATATATTTTGATCCCCGTTATTTGAATTAATCGAAATTTCATGTACGGCGGCAGACCATGGTACAGTGGCTTTAGGTATGAAGAGGTATTGGGTTAGTAGCTGGGAGCTGGGTGACAATTGGGTGAGTTTTCAGTGGATTCGAAGACTGAGAGCGGAATACTTAAGATTTATCATTGTATTTTAGAGTATGCATATCATTGACGTTTTTAATTGTCAAATAATGCTAGAGCTCAAAACTTAGACACATCCTTAGTCACACTTAAAATACATTCCTTTTTATAAAGAACGTATATATTTTTATTTAATGTATTTTATTAGCATAAATATTTTATGAAAATGTTAAAAAAAATATTGCCTTTACAAAATAATGCATTATCAAGTGAAAAACATTTAAGTAAATTAAACAGTATGTAATTTAAGTAGAAACATAAAATTATTTTTTAATTTATACAAGAAGTAGATTCATCTGGAAACTTAAACTCCATATTCAAAACACCCCCATCAAACCATTTTTGAACGTCACTGGTTCTGGTTACATAATCCGATGGAATAGTTAAATCTATCTTGCGTTGACAGGGAAGAATACCTCTGTTGCAATCTGTGTAAACTGAAGAAAAGCTTATATTAATTAACTAATACATATTTATTTTAAAATTGAGTTCTCCAATGGAGTAATCTTTCATTTTCCAGAGGATGTTTTAGTTATGGGGCCCAACACGGTACGACCGTTAAAATTATTATTTTTATTAGTAGACTTCTGAAAAGGATGCAATTTTATAACTCAAACAGGAAGGGGAGGGATTCTAAGCGAGGAGAGATTCTAAAAGATACCTTGTCTAAATCAAAAAGAGATCGCACTTGGGGTCCAATCTATATTCCCGTTATATTTTTTGACCGACATATCGTATCAAGTCCGATCTCTAATTTATATAGTATTGAAAATATCCAAGTACTTTTAAAATGAACATCCATGGAAAGAAGAGCTCCTTTCCCTCCTTGCAACACATAATTTCCATTAGCATCAGTACGAGCATCAGCAAGCTGATCATCTCTTCCTAAGAAGATTTTTTCAAGAATTTTGAGTATTTTATTTACCAAATTTTTTATTCCAAAGTTTAACTTTTGTCCCAGAATCAGGTTTATCCCCACACATTAATCTTCCACGGATTCCGACAGATTGTTGTCGAAATGCCTCAGAAAGGGATATAAGGAGCAAAATTAAAGCGAAAATTTGAATAAACTTTGAAGGCATTTTTAAGCTATCTTTAACAGAAAATATTAAAAAACAAAATTTAAAAAATCAAGTTTTGAGGTTTATTCAAGTTTTTTAAGAATAATCTTGAATATCAAAATGTTCAGAAATATTAGTCTTGTGGCTTAACTCAGGATTTTCTTTAGGGAGGGAGTTTGATACTCTAAAGTGAACATGAAAGTACGAGAGGAAGAGTTCTTGAGAGATTCACCATATAATCTTGGAGAGGTTTTGAAAGTCCTTAAAGCAGATTTAATAATAATAGACGGGACAGGGAGGGTTTTACGGAAATCGAGATGGATATCACTGAAAAATCTAGATGACAGAGATCGTTTGAGGTCTCGTCTCGGTCTGAAATCTCTAGTTCAAAGTAGTGTTCGGCAAATGGATTTTTCAATACCAATACCAGGAGTACCGAAAAGTACAGAGTCAATACTTTCGGAAGTATTACGGGATTATTAGGAGAGAAGAATCTTAAGGAGAAAAGTCTTACTTATAATTAGAGGTTGAAAGCAGAGAAACCAGAATGGGATGGTTGTAAAAGAATAGATATCAGTCAAAGAATCTCGATTCTCGACAAGCAAGATTTTTAGAGATCTCATTATGACCCGATCTCTAGTTGAAGGTTTGTTAGCTTATTTGTTTGCTTACTGTAACAAATTTAAAATTTTGTTGATAGCCCTGAGACTATTTTTACAAAATTTTGGGTAAATAAAAAAAACATTTTTAACAACTCTAGTGTCATCAAAAATAAAAATATGTATGAAAAATAAAATTAAAAAAAGGAGCAGATTTAATAATATCCGATTTTCTCGTTCAATAATTTGACGAACAATTATTATTTGAACACTTTAAATACTAAAATATTTCAACACATTTTTATTTTTTAATGTTTGTTTTTGTAATTTGTTTACAATAAAATAACTGAGAAATGTGTATTTTGAGGGTAGAAAATGTTTATTTTTAATCTTTATAAAGGAACTAAAAAAAGAAGAAAATGAAAAATGGCTGATAATAAAAGAAAAGTGGTGACTCATTGAGGGTTTTAGGGAGAGAAATATTTAACGAGGAAATTTTTTTTGAAAATAAAAATATCATGAAGAAATTGTGGTAATTCTTCGGTTCGTATTCCCCCTTCTTTTTTCTGACCATTTTTCATTTTTCCTTCCCTTCATCCCTTATTTTTCATGACACCCCTAATTAAATAAAATTATTTAAAATTTGCCAGTAAAAATTTTTTTAAAGTTCCGGGAACCGGAACTTTAATTGGATCCAGTTCCCGTCAAAATTGCGGTTCCGGTGAAACACTAATAATGGGATAAAATATGAATTCAATATTCTGTATGGCAAATTAAGGCATAAACCGGTTTCGATTAACCAAAAACCAGGGGTCAATCGAAAACCGGGGGTCGTAAACCGGCCAAAACTGAAAACCGAGGGTACCGGTTTTTAACCGGTCGCCAACAACCCTACTTTCCTCATGTAAAATAAGGGAGAAAGGGAAGGAAAAATAAAGAAATGGTCAGAAAAAAAGAGAGGGGGAATACGAACCGAAGAATTACCGAAATTGTTGTTTCTTTGAATTTTCTAAAGAAAAAAAGGATGGTTCCGGTTAATCATGATAGTAAGGAAGAATAATGATAGCACGTCTTTTTCGTTATTAGCTCAGTGTTCCTGACGGATGTTTTAAGGAGATTTGACCATCTACATGTAGCATATCACTCCATTAAGACATCGGCACAATTAGTTCCCGGTAGTGACTTATTATCGAGCTTTGACTTATTTTACACAAATAAATTAACATTTTAATTGTGGATTTGAAGGGAATATCAAGAATGATGTATGACCCAACGGTGATGTATAATCAAGATTCGACTTTATGTTTTACCAACTTTTACCGACTTTTACTTTTTTCTTTGAATAATTTTATCTCTACATAAACGTAGAAATAAGGTTTGAAAATTTTTTAAAGAAAAAATATACAAGGAAATAACAATAGAATTTTTAAATAAAAAATCAAAATTTTTGACTCTTCAATAACCAAAATATTGGTTTTCTTTTTCTGTGTTATAGCGAAAAGCTTCGTCAAAAACATGTTCCAAACATTGCTGAATTTAAAAAACAAATAAAAATAATTTTTAAAATTAAATTATTTACTTGACAAGTACTGTTAGCATCAATTCCCAAAAGTTGTAGTGTTCCCCAAACATTGATGGGTTCATTGAAATCTTAAAAAATTTGAGGAAAATTTTTTTCTTAAAATTTCTAACCATTAAATTGGTTAACAATTTCTGTAGTAACAGAATCTTCTAAATTATCTTTGATAATCATCAAATCCTTTTGCATTCGAAGTCCATCCGAAAAATAATAAGAAAAAATTAAAATAAAACAGCAGAAAAGAGGAAGTTGTCCTCGACGGGGCCAAAACATTTTTTTGAAATTTTCTAAAAATTAAAAAAAAGATTTCTAAAGATTTTCAAAAATTTATTCAATTCTACTCAATTCTCTGTTATATACCCTCATTTGAATGCTCCTTTCATTATATTCGATTTCCTAAAAATGCTTGGGCACTGAGAAGAGCTGCTTACCAGAGAGAACCTCCGCTTTTATTTTGTCGGTTTCTCCGATTTTTTTAAGTCCGATCTTTGAGGGTTACAATATTCCTGCAACATAACCACAAATATTCTCTCACTATAACAAAGTGATTTCGGGCATTTTCTCTCTAGCGGTATGACAGTTGCGGATATGAAATTTAAAATAAAAAATTTATTTAAGTTTTCAACACCGCATCAATCCAGAAATCACTCGGAAATTATTTTAGAGTTCCGTTCTTCCCAGTGCCCAACAATATTTAAAAAATTAAATATATAAATGAGAGAACTGGCATTCCAACCGACAGACGCAGCTCAAAATAAGCTGTTATTTCAATAAAATTTTTTATTTAAACTTGTAGCTTCTAGGAATCCGAGGGTCTTATAAAAATTTTTTTTAAAAATTAAACTCCTTTAAATTTAATTTAGAAAGAGAAGGGGTTGATTTATTGTTAAATCTATAGCTAATGAAGGGAGAGTAACGCGCGGCAAAAATTCCTCTTTCGTGGCCAGACCCTCTAATTTTGTTTCTCTCTATAATACACGTAGATAAATTTTAAAAAAATCAAAAATTGATTTGTTGTGAATTGTAAAGTGATTAATTGAGAGAGAGAGAAAGGGGAGTAAAGAAAAATTAATATAGATGCCAAAAAAACTTTTTTTTTCGGGAGTTGGTCGGGAGCTAAATTAAATGCCTTAAAGGCGCTTCAAAGCGACACTGTTTGAATTAAATCCTGTCATTACTACATATACGTCCACTCAAGATTTTGAGGTTTATGCCATTAAAACGCGATAGAATTAACAAATCTCAACACTAGGAGTGGTCTGAAAAATCTACAAAAATTCCTGTAAACATATTAGTGATGGTCGGGAGTTAAAAAACCCGAGAGTCGAGACCGAGACCGGGAATCGACCCCGAGACCGAGTCCCGGGTCGAGACCGAGAGTCGAGACCGAGAGTCGAGACCAAGAGATTAGAAGGGATACCCTCTCTCAGTCTCACATGTCCCACTGGACATGTGACACACAAACCACACAACAAACGTTGCAAGGCTTTGAAGCCATAAATCCTCCTATTTCATCCATTTCCTGCGCCGCAGGCGAAAATTTTGAGAATTTTGGAGGTCCTTAAGTCAGATTTCTTCCATTTTTTGTGCCGCAGGCGAAAATTTTGAAAAATTTGGGAGGCCAATAGCCAGATTTCTTTCTTTTTTACCGCCGGAGGCGAAAACGCTGCGCCGCAGGAGGAAATTTTGAAAGATTATGATTAAATTAAAATTTTTAATGTTTTTTTCAAGTTTAAAAAAGTAAGAAAAAATAAATTAAAAATTTTAAAAACAAAATCAAAGTTTAAAAACGTTTATTTCCGAAAAGAAAAATATTCACAACATCATTTCCACCTTAGGATTCGAACCCAGCACTTACAAAATATTTAAGTGAGTTAAGTCAGTCAACTTAACCACTCTACCATCAACCATCAAAAAAAAGGGGAGAAATTATAAATATATTCCTTTCCCCTTTCCTTCAAAAAGTTCAAAAAATTTCCGTCATTAGGAGTGTAAATTTAGTCTCGTTTTCCGAGACTAAAACACCGAGACCGAGACCGAGAGCTCAAAAAACCCGGGAAATTTCCCGACTCGGGAACCGAGACCGGGAATCCCGACCATCACTAAAACATATGTACTGATATCAATAGAAAATACAAAAGAAACAAAGTTCCAATATATCTCCTCTCCATATTTATTATTTATGGAAAGCCAACTTTAGAAAAAATATTGAACGAGAAAATTGCCGGATTTTTCCGGTTAATTTTTCACAAGATTAATTGAGAGAGAGAGAAAGAGAAAAGGAGAGGAAAGAAAAACATTTTATACAATAAATACAACAAATCACAACACAAATACAATACAAATAATCACAACAAAACAAAATTAATCACTAATTTCTCCCATCTGCCAAATAGCCATTTTCTTAGAATCTTTGAGAAAGCAAAAATACATCATCTCATGAACTTGTGGATCATCTACACGAAACATTTGATACTCCACGACTTTAAAGAATTCCTCCATATCCTCATCCTCCATTTGAAAATAGCGTTCTTCTTCTTTTACCAGTCCGCCACGCATTTTTCGCCAATAATCCTCGAAATAGAAGCCTCGATATCCGTGAATAACAACGTGATGATACATAAATTCGTATCTTCTAATATAACTGTAGTGTTTCTTATTAATCAGATAGAAACAGTTTGTGTGGAATTTGAACGGAGAATCGCCAAAAAATAATTCAAGAATGTCCGGATTGATAAAGCCTTGTTCAACTTTGAAGTTTTCAATGAAGCAATAGGAAAGCTTTTCAAGCCAGTGACGAAAAACAAGCATTTCTTCAATTGTTTCTGGATATCGTTTTAATTGAAGACGAAGAAATTTAGGCGATGTTCCATCTAGAAATGAAAAAGTTAGTTAAGAGAAAGCTTCAAAAATTTCACTAATGTTGTTTCCCTCCCCTATCCAATTTTCCCCCTTAATGCACAATATGGGTAGTCATTTCTTTGTTTAATTTCACAGAATTTCCCCGTCGCATGATTCAATCAGTACGAGATAAGTTACAAAAACATCAAAGAAATGACTGACCATTTTGTACATTATGGGAAAAATTGGGTATGAGAGGAAAACAACACAAACACCCTAAAGTTCACTTGTTTCTCCTGATTCAAACAAAAGATTCCCGATTTCATTCGTTTTATCGTCAACTGATCCATCAGATTCGTTTTTGTGATCAAGGTAAAAAGGCATCCGTTCTTGAATTGCTGTTTGATACTGAAAAATGAAGAGAATTTTTAAACAAAATAACTCCTCCCCCTTCCAATTATTTACCTTTAATTCATCTTCTTCACTTAACTCCAAGTCCAACTCATCAGGAGCACATTCCAACTCTTTACAAACATCTGTAAAACAAAGACATTATACTCGATTAAAGAGCAAAACCCTTACAATTAGCAACCAATTCAACAGAACAAAACACTTTCCTAGCCAATTCTTTGTTGTAGTTGACGATCACTTCACAAAAATGACGATTTGACAGTTGAAAGTTGTTCAATTGGTTGAAGTTGAGGCATTTGAAGATGTCAAGTTTTGTTTCGGCCGGTAGAAGATTCATTGTTGTAATGGGATTTGTTCCAGCAGGTAGAAGATTTGTTGTTGATTGATGAGAGAAAGATTTAGTCAAAATAACTTAAGCCTTTTATACTGTCTTTTATAAGCTTAATTGTTAGATAAGACTATTAGTGATGTTCGAGACTCTCGGTCTCGACTCTCGAGTCGAGAAATTTCTCGAGTTTTTGAGTCTCGATCTAGGTCTCGACTCTCGGCTTTTTTAACATTCGAACATCACTATACACTATGTAGAATATTTTGATGATTAATAGGGATAAAAGTATGTAGCAAACAGTCCGGCAACGTTAGAATTCTTCGATGGGAGAGATTAAGTTTCGCTAAAGGCAACGATCAGGCTCCTTACAAGTGTTAGTTAATCAATTTATTCACAGAAATATGCAAATTAAAGCTCAAAGTAAGACAAAGAAAGCAATTATCTTGAAATCATCCACCAGAAGAATTTTGACTTATTGGCCTTTTAAAATTCTCAAAAAATTTTCAAAAATGCCAAAGAATGAAAAAATTCTGGATCTGTGGACTTCCAATATGTTTAAAATTTCGTCTGCCGGCTAAAAAATGAGAAGACGGGCTTATCACCCTCATTTTCGGTAAATTCCTCCGTAATATCAAACTCTATTTTTATTAGGAGATGAGGTTCGAAATTTTTTTTTGTGTTGTCTCAAAGGCGTCAGTTAATTAAAAGCTAGATTTAATTCATTCCCGACGGATATGCATTATTGAGATCCAATTTTTTCATTTAAATAAATTTATATTTTATTTAAATATAAATATGTACAATTTTATCTCCAAATAAAACGAAGACATACATAATGTTGAAAATTTTGAAAAGAAGAAATATAAGGAATGACAATATATAATTTTTAAATAAAAAAATTTCTTTGAAAATTTCTAATAACCAAAAAATTGGTTTTTCTCTTCAGTATTATAAAGAAAAGCCTCGTCAAAAACTTCCTTCAAAGTCAACTAAAAAATTAAAAAATTATAGTGTAAAAAAGTCTTGAGTCATTGGATTTTATAATTTGAATCGGTATCAGGACTGCACGCAATTGCGGATTGCGTTTGCGGATTTTGAAAAAAATTGCGAGTTGCGGAATCTTTTTTTTTTAAATTGCGTGTAGCCCTGCTTGGTATACAAATATTTTTAAAGGATTTTTTTCACTTTTTTTTCTTATTTTTAAATCCTCCTTTAAATAATATAAGACTTGAAGTATTTACTTTAAAATTTAAAAAGTTTTTTGAGATTTGAGATAGAGTTTAGCAAAAGTTTATCTACCGGGCAAGATCGAACCTTCGACCTCTTGACAGTTATTGCTCGGCGCTCACCAAATATTTACAGGTTCAAATTATTGTATACGATATTCAGGCTGTGGAAGAATTGTGGATAGGAGTTGGAATTGAACCATCACGGAAAGGGCCCAAACCGAGAGCACAACCGACATTGCCACCATCCAACCCATGAAGGGTTATTTATTTTCATTTATATTTATTCTGCAAGTGCGGACACAACACAAATTATAAAATCCAGTGCCTTGAATCAAGAAATTAATTTAAAAAAATATTTACTAGACAGGTACTATTAGGATAAATTCCAAAATTTTGGACTGATGCCTTAACATTGTATTGATAATTGAAATCTAAAAAATGTTGAGAAAAAATTTTGGGAAAATTAAAATAATTTCAAGTTTCCAACCATTAAAATTTTCAACAATTGTTGAAGTACAGGAAGGTTCTAATGTATCTTTGATGGTCATCCCATCCTTTTGCATTTTAAGTCCATTCGAAAAATACTTATACGAAAAAATTAAAATAATACAACAGGAAAGAGGAAGAAGTCCACGACGGGGCCAAAACATTTTTTTGAAAAATTTTTCTTCTAAAATTTTTTTCTTTTCAAAATTTATTTATTTTTTAAGTCGTATTCTTTGGAATTGAACAAGTAAATATTTAAAATCAAATATTCTTCAATTCAAAAAATAATTGGAGGTAAAGTAAAGCAGCTGGGCTATAGATATTTCTCTCATTTAGCTAGTGCAAAAGGTTAATCGGCGGCTGGGAGCGAACCAGCATCTTCAGTAGACCGGACTGATGTGTTAGCCATTACACCACGCCGCCTACTGCACAGCCTTAGGAATTAAATAGCTACATGCTTTACAGTTATGCCAATGTTTTAACACTCCTTATGGGTTCAAAATCCTAACATAATCGTAAAGGAAGAGAGAAAATTTTACGGAAATTAAAAAAAAATCCTCAAAAAACTTTGAGGAATCCATCTGAAAAATAACATGAAAAAATTAAAATACTAATACAGAAAATGGCACCGGATCCGTCTTCAAGGCCCCGTCTATATACGGTAAACGGTGCCTTTAAGATGGCACCGTTTACTGTATATACTCTATTAATTATCCTCCATCAAATAACTTCTTATAAAATTATTTTTAAAATTTAAACACCTTTAAATTTAATTTAGAAAGTGAAGGGAGTGATTAAGAAAGTGAAGGGAGTGTTTATAGCTAATGAAGGGAGAGAAACACGCGGCAAAATTTTCTCTCTCTTTTTTGGCAGGGCCCTCTAAATTTTTTTCTTTTTTTCTCTATAATATAGAAATATTTAAATATACGTATAAAAAATCAAAAAATCGAAAATTGATTTATTTGTTGGGAATTGTTGAGTGATGGAGTGTGAGAGAGAGATTGAGAGAGAGATTGAGAGAGGGATAGAAAAAGAGAAAATTAAAATCTAATATGGATGCCAATGAATTTCTTAACATTTATTTAATATATTCTTAATTTCTAAAGTGTTAAGCAAAAACCTTTTATCGGCAACAAACGCCTTGAAGATGGCACCGTTTAATTAAATCTTGCCATTCTAAGCTACCGTAACCTAATAGAAATCATGGGCTTATATTTTTCGATGAATCTCATTGAAAGGGTTTCTAATGGGGCAAAGGCTTATATTTTTGAATATCAAACTTTTATTATATCACAAGAGTGTCTTTAAAATAGTGTTTACCGCTAAGCAACAAAAAGGCTTACGAAACTAGAGAACGGCAAGGATAAATCCCGCAAATCAAAAAAAGTGCGGGATTGCGTACGCAGGATCCCACATAATCCTGCGCGGGATCCTGTCCCGCGCCGGTCTCTATATGAAACATGAACTGGAAAAAGTTAAATACCGTTCCCAGTTCCATCCCGACCTCACAAGGCCGAGAGAAAATTCGGAAAATAGGGAAGGCCCCGATCCCTAATTTACTAACGTAGTTGAGTCAATTGAGAAATTTGTTAAGAGAAAATTTTTATTTTACATAAGGTGGTGTTGAATTTAAGGAATTTTTTTGTTTTTTTTAGATTTTTAAAATGTTACTCGATACCAATTCGAGTAACAGGAAAAATTATTTATTAAAGTTATTAATTTTATTTGTCGCACTTTGTGGAATTAATTGTCACGTTGTAAGATTTTAAATTGAAAGGAAGACTAGACGGGACTTCAAGATCTATTAAAAGAGTGTTTTCATATACCAGGTTTTTCCCAAAAATGGAATCAGATCGGACGAAGGATAGTTGAACTAATCATTAATTGTCTTAGTCATTAAAGGACCTAGTCAATCGCCTAAAAACCGGAGGCTTCTCTCTTTAATATCTAAAGCCATGTAGTAGGCGGCGTGATGTAATGGCTAACACATCAGTCCGGTATACTAAAGATGCAGGTTCCCAGCCGCCGATTAACCTTTTGCACTAGCTGAAGGAGAGAAATAGCTATAGCCCAGATTCTGTACTACATATATGTAGTACAAGTACCTCTTGAAAGAGGAAAACAGGGTCTCAGGATCGATGACTTGTCGGGGCTTTGTAACCTTTTCTACCTGTTCTCTTAATTAAATTTCAAAAAATAGAAAAAAAGCGCATCACTTGATGAAATATTAAATCTTGGCAACAGTTTAAATAACGGGCAGATAACTGCCGGACAGTTGTTAGAAAAGAAAGGAGGAAAACAAAACAAACAAATTAATTCCTTTAAAAGAAATTCAAATCAGAACATTTCAAAAAATTCGAAACAAATTTCTAAGGAAAAACAAAAACCAAATTTGAAAAATTCTAAAAAGAATGTGATAACTAATAAAGTAATTTCAAAAAAAAGACAAAAACAAATTAGTAAAAAACAACAAAAGGAATTAAAGGAATTGAAGGAGATGGAAGCAATGAAAATTATAATGAAGGCGGTAATTACAATTCGAACCTTATTATAAGATCCCCTTTCGGGCTAAAAACTCAGTATCGGTCAGCCATGGAAAAGGCCAATCAACTATAAAATTTTAGCCTTGATCGAATCTAAGGGAAACTTATATTATTCGAAAGTCCTTTTTCAGACCCTGGGAAGTTCATAAAAAATAAGAGTCGAACCTTATTATAAGATAAACCCCTTTGGGCTTAAAACTCAGTATTGTGTTGCCATTGAGAAGGCCAACTGCCAGCTTTAATCAACTATAAAATTTTAGTCTTGATCCAATCTTAGGGAATCTTATATTATTCGAAACTAGAATTCTAGAAAAAATAAACTAGAATAAACTAGAATTCTCAGACCTTGGGAAGCTCAGAAAACTAGGAAAACCCTTAAAAACTACAGTCCTATAAACTAATAAATGTGAGAGAGAGAGAGTAAATAATTACACTTATCATGATCCAAATTTTTAATAAATGATTAGGTTTGATCCATCCCCTCGGAAAAAGATTTTTTAGGATAAGAAAAAAGATAGGTGTTTTTTGAATAATATAAGATTGGATCAAAAGCCAAAAAAAGTTATAGTCGATCAAATATAGCTGGTGTTAAGTTGACTTCAACCCCCTTTAGGCGCCCCCGCCAAGTATGAAGAATTACTGAGTTCCTCTATTAGAATGCTATGGCATTCTATTTTTCAATCACCTTTAAAGGTTGCATTCTAATAGAGGGTGGCATTCTAATAGAGGGTAGCATTCAAATAGAGGGCGGCATTCTAATAGAGGGTGGTATTCAGATATAGGGTGGCATTCTAATAGAGGATGGCATTCTAATAGAGGATGGCATTCTAATAGAGGAAATACGGTATCTCAAATTGGGGTGTATTAATAATTGAATAATTTATTTTAATTAATTTTTAAAATAAGAATTTGGAAAGAGAATTGAATGAAAAAATTCAAAATGGAATAGTTGAAAATAACAAAATTAAAAAACATCATCACAAAAATGAAAAAAATAAAAAAAATATTAAAAATAAAGAAATTCTTGATTCTGATGAGGATGATGAATTAGTTATTCCAACATTTGGAGAACATCCAGGTTTGTTTCTTAAAAATAGGAATGAAAGATCTCGACAAAAATCTTATTGAGAATCGAGAGGTTTAGAGATAACTATCATCGATTCTAGTGGACCCTCTCTATCCGTTCTCTATTTTATACCTTACTTTCACGAATAAATACCCTAGATAAATATTTTTTGGAAAGAGTTAGGAGGCCCAAAGATATTACTCCTTTATTCCATTACCAAGGTTTTGGGCCTGACTTTGAAAAAACTGAAATTGGAGATCGTGGGGGAAGAGTCCCTCCTGGGCCTGATTTTGAAAAATTGGAATTGGAGGTCTTGGGGAGGGTTGGGGACAATATGAATAGGAGACTCACGACTATTAAGCAACATTTTTATAAATTTTTGAAAAAAAATTTCCTCAATATTTTAAAAATATTTTTACAAGGTTTCATGCCTATTGTAATGCACAAATTAACTGAACACAAGATAAAAAGCTCTGAATTAATTAGTAAACGTTTGGAAAGTGCAAAGGATGTTCGCAATTTATTGTGGACAGCTGTGGCTGTTGCAGAGAGAAAATTGGTTGATAATAGAAAGGGTGTTAAGATTGTGGATAAAGGGACACAGGTTCCGTTCTAAAGGAATTATTCTTTTAATTATAAAAATTCAGACTTGTTTGTTAGAATTTATTGCTCGTATGGTTGGTGGGGCTTATACTCCTTTTGCTTTCATTAAGGAAGACAGTAAGAATTTTAAAAGTAACATGTTCCCTCCATTATCCTGGGTTTGGGGTTGGCAAGAATTGGAGGCCTTAGGGGAGAGGTATAGTAGAGTTAAACACGTTTATCATGATTGAGCCGTGATTAACCCCTTTTTAATCTTTGGTTTTTACAGTGTTGTGCCCAGGAATGGGCCGTTTCGCAAAAAGTCAGGTCAGGGTTCGGATAGAGGATTTAAAATTTTTTTTTCAGATAGGGGTTCAGATCGAAAAATAGTGATGGTCTCGGGGGTTTCCGATCGGGTCAGTTAAAAGGTTCGAATTTAACCCTGAGCTCAAAAAGGTAAGACAGTAAGATTGGAAGTCTGGGGGAGGGAGGGGGCGTATCACCCATACCTGTTACCCACCTCTACAATGGACGTTGCTTCTTCCAGTGCCGCCCGTCTGCTTTATCTACTCCGCCTTCTCCCTTTCGATTTTCAATTTCACTTTGTCTCTGACCCTTCAACCCCTAACCTTTACTCATTAATCCTTTATAAATTCCATAAAATATCCAAAAATAAATTTTTTAGCTCACCATCACCACCACATTACCTCATTTATTTACGCATTACGCAAAAATGATATCGCCTTCCTTTCGTCTGGATATCGCAAATTTTGGCGTGAAAGTAAATTATCCTTTAATTAATTTACTTAACAATATTTTTTAGAAATTACCGAAGAAAAATTTAAGGAGCTAGAGAAGAAGGTGAATACCTAAAAAATACTTTTAAATAAAATATATTTATTTAAAGCTTACACCAGTGTTTATCAACCGAGAATTCTGATTTTATTTTTTATTTGATTTATTTTAAAAAGTACCCCCCCCCCTAAAAAGTACCCCTCCTAAAATACCCAAAATTTTTTCTAAAATTCATTAACCATTTTATCAAATTTTTTATTTAACCGAATCCTTTAGATGTAAGGTTGGCGGATATTCAAATACGAAAGAAGCCAGAATATCCGTTTTAAGGACGAGAGTGAGCTGGGAATTTCTCAGGATCCGCCAACTTTACTCATATGTACATATATTTAAATACCCTGAAAATCCCCAAATTCCCCTCCACCTTGTTTTTTTACCAACTCCTCGATAATTTTTCCCAATTATTTTATGAACTGACCCTCATTTATATTTTATTTGAAATATCCATTATTTAAATGAATAGTTTATCTGTTATCTGTCACCATTGATCAGATTATAACTTTGCGAAAATATGGGGTAAATTTCGAAGAGTTTGGTGTTGAGCTGTAAGAATGATTCACCTAGCAGCATTTAAAACGCTTTGACGAGGGTTAAGCGAATATAAAAATAGCTCAGCTTTAGGGTTCTATAAGCGGTAAGCGAAAGCGCCTAGCGATAACTACGAGGAGACAGATAACAGAAAATTTTACATTATATTATGTTATATACCCTCCCAACATGTTCACATTGAACAATATTTATTTTCCATTTAAATTTTTTCTTTAAAATTTTCGCATAAAAGTTTTTCTAGCTGATAAAGATGTATAAATTTTCTTTATAAAATATTAACAAATTTTTTATGTTATTTTCCTAACTAAAACCTTTTGGCCACAACCATTTCTTTACAGGATAACCAAGGTTTTCGGTTAGCACCGGCCTCACTGACCAACCTTACATTTGTCAAACAACTAAATAAATAGACCTAAAGGGTTGGGGTCATAAGGGCGCGGGGCCATTAGGGCGCCAGCACTAGAAACTGACACTTATGCATAACCAAAATTTATGAAAATTTTCTCAAATTTCTTTAACATCATTGACTACCTCCTCCAGAAATTCCAGAATTTTTCATCGAATATTTCTGAAGATATAGTCGATAAACCGCGAAAAATTAGAGTTTTTTCGGAAAAACAACATTTTTGGCCACAATTTCCGAAATTCTTGATCAAAAATCCTGAAATTTTTGGAGAACGTAGATAAAGGCATGAGAGTTATTATTGCAAAATTTTATCTTTTTTGATAAGCAACTCACTGTTTTATAAGCTCGCGCCCTAATGGCCCCGCGCCCTAATGGCCCAGTCCCTTTCTTTACAGGATAACCACGGTTTTCGGTTAGCACCGGCCTCACTGACCAACCTTACATTTGTCAAACAACTAAATAAATAGACCTAAAAGGATTAGGCATTTATTAAAAAATTTAAATGAGGGAAAATATTGTTAATTTGTCTCTGTTAATCCTAAAATATATTTTTTTTAAATACTATCCCCTTCATTCATTTATTTTGGCAAAAGTAATAATATCCTTCTGACCTGTTTAAGACAAGAAATATTATTAATAGGGAGGATGATCTGTCAATCATCCTTCAAACTATTATTTACTAAGAAAATAAATAAGGATAATGATGGATAATAAATTTAGAGAGAAGATTTTTTAACAATAAAAAGAAAGAGGAAAGTCCTCAAAATAAAAGGACAATAAAATAAACCCCAAAACAATACAGTTAATCTCAATAGCCAGTGTACCGCGAGCCCAATGTACCGCCGAGCTATAACTTTGTCCAAAATTATCGAATCCGTGCGCCCTGGTATGGTTCGATGCATCTCGACCAGCTGAATCGAACCATATCATGGCGCCACGGATTTGATAATTTTGGACAAAGTTATAGCTCGGCGGTACATTGGGCTCGCGGTACATCGGGGTGTACCCTAAGATGACACTTCTATTTAAAAGCTGTCGAGTTAAAAGCTGGTTAGCTACTAGGTTTTGAGAGTTGAAATTTAACAGATATCTCGATGTAACAACACTTATAATAACTACTCGATGTAGTATACACCTCAATATAAGAGACACCTAGATTTAATATGTATAAGATACCTCATTATAAAAAATGATTTTTTGAGCCTAAAGAGTGTATCGTATGGCGGGGTACTTATTTGAATGTATTTTAAAAATAAGATCTTTATTAGGTAATGAATTAACACAAAATATAAGTAATTTCCTATCTTGGTCAGAAAATTAATTAGAAAATTTTTTCTAAAATAGTTAAACAAATACATATAAGTAAATATTAAATCTCTCTGTCCAATTGGAAATAAAAGCCAAAAACCAAAGAAATATACATAAATATCCATAACAAATCCCCTAGCCAATTAATTTATGCTTGTCCACCTGTTGGTCAATAATAAAAAATATTATTTTTTTTTGTTTTTACATTTATGTCGGTATATAAATTAAATTTGACCAGCCAATTTTGTTACAAGGTAAATCAAATAAACTAAAAACCCGAAACAGGATTAAAATCAAAAATTATTTTTTATCTTACAAATCTTTGTTATTGCACCTATTAAGTTAAATAATTAATAAACTCATAAGGTATAGGCCGGCCCTCTTTATAGGATAACTGTTGAGTATGTCAGTAGAGATCAGACCTGGTCGGCACCTGGGCCAACCGACACCGTCTTTCCTTAGTTATCCTCGCCTTTTGCCAACTTCGTTATTCTTGTATTTCCTATTGGGATAAACTTGTTATTCTGTTAGTCACAAAATATAAGCCCTTAAAAATATCTAGAATTTAAAGTTTTTGCTTAAAAAGGAAGACAAAAAATAAGAAATAAATAATAGAATTAAAGAGTTTTTATTTCGGCATAAACAGGCATATACAAATTAAAAAAGAACCATTTTCAACTTGTTTATATGCTTTTTTAAATATCCATAAGTACATCTGTATACTACTAGGGTGGTCCATAAGTTCGTTCGTTTTTATGCTGTCCTAGATAATCGTCTATATCTTACCTTGGAATTGATAAAATTAAAACTTCTTGAGTTCATCTTATTCAGCAAAGAATTGTCTATCAAATACAATTTATTTCGTAATTTTTCACTTTTTTAAAAATTTTTTATGGATTAAAGAGTTCCCTACATCCATTCTCGACCTCCTCCAAACTCATGAAGCTCCGCCCATGAAGAAAGTGTCCCATCGATCGGAAAAGATGGTAATCACTTGGTGCAAGTTCGTTTTTTAAGCTGGCATGATATAGACGATTATCTGAGACAGCTTAAAAAACGAACGAACTTATGGACCACCCTACTATTTGCAACAAACATTTTGATTTGCTTTGCACTGAGGTATTATTACACGCCTGAAAATTTTGTCAAGAAAAATATACATACAATTAGAGTTTCACCGGAAGTTCCGCTTACATTCCGGAAAGTTCCAGTGTTTTTTTTTGGTTCCGGCTCCGGTCAAAATTTCGGTTCCGGTGAAACACTACATACAATACCGATAATTTAGAATTAAATTTTAACAAATTTTATCAGAAAAGGGAAAATTTTTTGTTAGTTCAAACAAATTTTTTACTTGCAGCCACACGAACCATTCGGAGCAGTACAATCCCATTTTTTTCCTCTATTAAATTAAAAATAAAAAAATGTTTTAAACTTACTGTGGGCAGTTTTTAGAAAGATTTTGGCATTTACATTGATTTGGACATTTTCCCCCATCAACAATTTCTTGAAACATAATTATAAAAAACAAACAAAAATAACTTTTAAAAGGCTCATTTTTTGGTTAAATTTAGAAATGTTAACAAATTTAATTTTAAATTTTTACAAATTTTTGTGTCAATTTTTATATACATTCTATAAACATTTAAATTTATATTTTTGTTTGTTTTGCCACTTTTTAGATTGTCAAGAAGGAGAGAAAAATACTTCCCTTTACATAAAAATTATTTTTTTTTAAAATTAATCCACGTATTTCCAACATTTTAATTTTATTTAATTTATCAAGGAGGAATGAGGAAATTAAATTTTTGCGGTCAGGAAATTTGGGCACTGTTTAAAGTTGGGCTCCAATATGTGTACTTTGTATATTTTTAAACAGCAAAGGTTCAGTTAGTCATAATTGTGATTGAAAGACAAGAATATTTGCTTTGAGCCCTAAATTCACTCAAACCCCCACAATTTCCTGAGACCAAAATGAGGGAGCCCAAAATTCTCAAAAGTTGGAGCCCAACTTTCCCCGTGCCCAAACTTCCCGGGCCATTTTTACATTAAATAAAGCCAACACTTATTTCTAAAAATTCGAAAACAAAAATTATTTTTATCGTTTATTTGTTCTGTATAAAACTAAGAATTTGA